CGCGCCATTTTTCCCAACAGATATATACCGAATGTTGAAAAATAATTAGATAAGATGCATAGAACATTTGTGCCATAAAGGAAAAAGGAAAGCAGTAATCAACTCAAACTATCCATCTTACCACTTAAAGTTCTTTTCTGTGACCAAAGTGAAAACCGCTGGCTCTTCCACAGTCAAATTTCGAGAATGCAGCTAATCACCAAACCAAGGGCAAACAATTCAGGATAACCAAACCAAGGAGCAATTTTGCTAATATGATTCTTAAACTTTATTTGGGAATGCTTCTTGCTATTTTTGTTTTTTATTTTTATATTTTTTATTATTTTAAAAATATATAAAATATTAATTAAAATAAATATTAAATATATTAAATATATTTTTTATATTAAAATACTAAAAGGCATATACCTGCAGCTATAGCTTACCACTCTCAAACTAAACCTTAAATTATTAGTTCTGTTTCTTTGAAGCAATATAGTTGGGGAACTAATTAATCAGCTATTTGGACAAATGAAATTGTTCAGTTAACACTGAAGAAATAGAGGTCGGACAATGTCTTGTGCTTCGATCTTCAATAAAAATTCAAAACTTCCTAGTTGCTCTAGGGAGATACTATACCTTAAGAGAAACCCAAGAAATTGGTTTGTAGAAGTACCAACCAATCTTTCCGCTCTGGCATTGCATTAAATTGATTAGCTATTAGTGGGACTGCCCATATCCTAAAAAACAAACGAAAATTTCAGCTTACTGTTACAAAGTCTACAACAGTGGATGTGCATATTCATGACTAGGAATAAGCCTTATAAAATATCGCAAATGGCATTGTTTTCATTTGTCATTGACTGAGTTCGCCAATCAATGATCTTATCAACAAGTGACCATCATGGAAAGAGATTGTGGATTATATCCCAAATTGGGGTTCTATTAAAAGATGGAAAAAAGTTTGATTTTTTCCAAGAATCCCATCATGCATGAAAGTATTTGCGATGTTCTTCCATTCAATCAACAGAAATGCCTAAAGATATTCAACAGGCAATTTATAGTCCCCTGCATGTTGGAAGAACATCAGTCCCCTGCATGTTGGAAGAACATCAAAGGTATTAAAAAAGAAGCCTCTTGCTTCTTATTTTGGTTCAAAGGTAGATGGTATAATTCACTAGGATTTTGGTCAACACTTCAAATATTGTAGCAAGAGAGTCAAAACCAGACCTTTCTTGCCGATATCAAGTCATGGATTGACTTATGTACCAAAAAAAAAAAAATCAAGTCATGGATTTGATATTTTGTTCATGCCACCAAAGGTTAGACTGCCTTTAGTTTGAAACAGTATTGCCTAGGTGTAATATTGCAGAAGTAGTATATCTCTTGTGCAATAAAGTTCTCAATATCTATGCAATAAGAAAAATGGAAATCCTGAACAAAGACTCTGGTGAAGTGATCACCTTCTCCTTTCAAGGGATGACTAAACTGTATCGAATGATTGAGTTTTCTTGGTAACGACAATTAGACGTGCATATACCTTAAGGAAGGACAAGAAAAATCATGCTATCCAACCGTCTTATTGCCTTTTCTTATTTCTCCAAGTCTATAATGCATTCTAAGAGACCACATACAGAAACTTCATATAATTTCCGTACGCAACACGGAAAGTACGTTAAGGAAACCATTTTCCATGGGAGAACAACACTCACATAAGACCCTATGACCTACAGAAGCACAATCCAGGATCAGTTGACTAAACGGATGATCGAGATGAAGGTGGAGATTCTCCAAGGAGAAAGGATTTGAAGAATGCAAGTGAGCTGCTTGGTTTGAAGCAGGGCACTGCATGACCAGCCCCTCTAAATGTTGCAAAAGTAAGTCCTTTGTATTCTTGTAGCCAACCACTGACCTGTGTCCCCCCAGAGAAAAAGCCATTTGGATTAGTGAAAGATACATGTGATATTTTTTAATCTGAAATTAGATAATTGTTTGTTTGTCATATTGGTAAATCATCATTAATACCTGCTTCTGGTGGTACCAGGGTCTCCATGCCTGAACAACAGGCAGTCCCAAGGAGCTTAAGCTGTACCGTGTGGACAAAACAGGGACTCTTCCATCTGTGTCTCCACTGAGCCACTCAGAAACAAATACCATAAGATCAAGAAAATAATCACTATGCTGTAGCAAGAACCAAATGCCAAGTGCAAAGTACCTGTAGACCCATATTCTAACTCCAACTGCAATCAACTTTTTGTATATTGGAAGAACAGATTTTTTTGAATCTGATTCTGACCAATTTTCAAACATCGTGTGACTGCACAAGAAAAAATATAATGAAACTGTTCATTTAGGATCTTAAAACCAGATTCATCACTTCACCTTAAGATGTAACTCCTTACTTGCATATGCTCCAGTTTCTGAGCTGGTGACCGTTGCTAACATGGAGTGACTCTTGAACGTCGGGTCTATTGTAGAAAGCTGTTGCATAAGAATCCAGGCATGGATCATAACCTCCCAGGATCCTGGGCATCTGGTAACAAAAAATTCATTAAATTTTTGGAACTCGAACAAAAACTATCACACAAGTTAATGGCAATACCATAATGTGACTTAAAAGAAACAAAAATGAATAAATGACAAATGAATTGGCTTCAGTGCCTTCTCAACTTGACAACTTAAGTACATATGAGGGCATCCAGCTTAGGAATATTTAAAGAATTTCTCCAACAATATTATTGTTATATAAGATATGTAAGTTGCAGAGGAGAATAAATGATCACCATGTTGGATGCTCGCTTCATCACAACTTTCATCCACTTATCATCTGAACCTGCTATATTACCAATGCAAACTGAGGTGTATAAACTATAGATATCAATCTCGTTATACTGTTTGAATAATTCATCCACAGCTTGGTCACAATGTGGATTGCTCCATGTATCACTGCTGTTGAAGTCACAGCTTTTGCTGATTATATTATATGTTTCATCAGATATCACAGCGTGACTCCAAGCATAATCCACCAGACCTCTCCAATCTTCAGCAGAAGATGTTTCAGGATTTCCCAGCTATTGACAAAAAGGATATTCCAGCACGTCATTGAATCACATATTGCTATTTGTCAAGAAATGGAAAATACTGCTAGTGATGGGGGACAAAAAAAGAAAAAAAAGAAAAATCCTTACCAGAATACCCTTCAAATCAATATAAAGGGAGGGATCACTGTTCTTGTCAATGATGAGTTCAGCTAGCTCTGGCACATATTTTCCTGTGAATGTATATCAATGAGAATAATTGGCAGACAAGGACAAGTTGATAACACATATGCACCAGAAGATTGTTAAGAAGAACCTGCATGGCTTTCTCCTGCGATGTAAAAGGTCCGTGTTCCATATGAGGGGAACTTGAGGAACCACTTATGTAGGAAGGTATAAGCATCATTTGCTGGTGTAAGTAGTCCAAACAACAGACAAATACAAATCAGTTTGATTTCAAGGTCTTCTGCTTATCTGATGAAGGTCAGAAATTCTCACATTTCAATTTATGCATAAATCTATACATGTAAGCATTATAGGGGATGCTTTCAAATAAAGACAATTGAAACAACAGTGCAGCAATATTTAAATGCATCAAAAGTTTGTATTCAACTCACCAGTGAAGGCATCTCCTAGATTATCATAATCAGTAGATGTATTTGTGTATGAAAAGCCAACCCCAATTGGAGATTCCAGGAATAACATGTTAGCTTCTGCACCATCACAGACATTAAAAATTCTTTTATGCTCTTGCAATCATGGAGCACCATTAAAGGTGCTTAGGAGCAACTACAAATAGTTTATATCTATGATGCATGACAGATATGCCTATAGTAGTGACAACAATAATATTAACAACAACAATAAAGAATTAGCAAAGGAGGACAAACGCAAGTGAGAGCAATTATAGGTTCTGAACTTTGGACCTTTATTCCATGAGTAGTTATTAAATTTAATTCCATTTCCCTCAATGTCCACTAAGAAAGGACCAATCTCTTGTGTTGCTCCATATCCAACAGACGAGCATCCAGGGCCTGCAACATGAACAACATAGAATGAAATAAACAAACTGAATTATTGGGAATGAGGAAAGCCAATTAAGGACCACCGCTATGAGATGGTAAAAGCAATAACCCAAACGAAAGATTACTTACAATATGTGATAAAAGATTAGTTTTGACATTTAAAAAGGCCTATTATACTTTTTTACCAACCATAAGAAGTTGATTTTATAAAAAGCATGCAACATGTTTGATAACAAATATATTATCTGGATTGTTTGGCCAACATATTCCAATGTAATCTACCTGAAGGGAAGCATGACCAATGCCTTAGAGCAGGTAAGCTGCAATGGCTAAAAGAGGAAAAGAGCAATTTGTCAACAGTACAAACTACGTTTTATGTGCTTACCTCCATTAAGCCACAGCACTAGTGGTTTTTCATCAGGGCGAGTTGTAGCCTCATAAAACCAATAAAAGAGTGCTCTTCCATTCTTTTCATCCACGGTCACATAGCCAGCATAATGCCGGAAGTCTACAGCTGGCTGGCCAGGCAAGTTAGTGACGATATCCTCATTTCCATACGTGCCCCTGTTCTTCCTCCTTGACAATTGTGAGTTTCTAACTCCAGAAACAGGCTGCACTAATATAGATGAAATAAAAGCCAAGGTGAGGAAAACTGCCACTTTCAACGTAAAATCCATATGAATACAGACCACAAAGTTAGGCAGATTGAACAAGGGAAGATGAACATCAAGAAGACCTACATGTCTATTTATACTCATGGGAGACTAGTTTAATAGAAACGTTAAGAAAATTAAAAAAGGAAAAAGCTAGAAGAGAGAATTGAAAGAAATGCATACTGGAAATATTCTGATAGGTGGAGTATTAGGCGTAATAAAAAATCTAATAGTTATTTCCTTTAATAGTTCATTTCCCAAATCTTCTAATATCTCTAACAACAAAGATATTAGAATTATTAGACACAGGAGAAGGGTCATGATTTAGCAACAGCATGGTTTTTATCAGGTTATCAATGTTATGCATCTGACATGAATTTTAGGCAGTTAATTTCTAGATTACTGTTGCAAGATTAACGCTGGTTTCCTGGTGGAGCCTCCAACTTTGCATGTGAGTTGTTGAATCATGTTCACATGAAATGTTTTATTATATACCCTGCTATTAAAGTCCACATAGAATGCATGTGAACTAACTTTAAAATGAATATATGTGATTTCTACTTGGAAAATGCCATTAGTCAAAGATGTTAGGGAACAAACATGGTGGTGGAAATTAACATAGAACAGCCGTCAGATCCTTATCTCCTTGTGAAATAAAAAAAGGCAAATCTCAACTTATAGGGGATAAAGCTTCTTGCTTATGTCATCAAAAGAGGAATTAAGATAGTAAAGCTTTTCTCTAGAATTGAATAGTTCATTATTAAGAATACATTGTAACATAAAACATAACGGTAGATGCATAAAAGGAAAAAAAATAATAATCAAGCAACAAAGATGAAACTACCCTAGTTGAACCTTGTCACCCATCACTAGTCTAACAACTCTTTAAGCCAAAATCCACGAATCTCAAAAACTCAAACAATGCTTGGTTATGACAAGTATATACCAATCACACTCAAAATCTCAATATGAAATTTGAGACATGACAAAAGATATTTAAATAGAATAGAGAATCAATATGTTTTCAATTCTGACCAAAAAGAATCTATGTTTTATAAAAAAATAAAAAGATTAAAGAAAAAAAAGAAAAATAGATCTTATCAAGACAAAAGTTCTCATTTTTGAATATTTTGAGTCATTGAAGCATTCAAAGGCTCCCTTTGTTTTCTTGTAGAATTAATGTTCAATTATTAATGAAATAATTAAAAGGAAATAAAGCTATCTAGGAGAATCGATTAGAAAAGAGATATCCATATAAGGTTAACAATTTTAGAGAAAATTTAAAGAATCTTGACTTCAACTCTTCAAAGAAATCCTTAATATTTCTAAATGGAATGGCTACACTAATGCAACTTTATAAATGACTATCAGCTATATATATATTTTTTTGTACATCACATGATGGGTTTTGTAACAGGGCTAGTTCTCCCCTTCCCAAACTCCTCTTCATCCATCCTAAAATTCAAACTTGAGATCTCTAACATGGAGACTCAAGATTGAGAACAAATATAAGCTATATTATTTAATTAGATGGATATATACCGAATGTGGAGAAATGATTAATTAAGATGCATGGAACATTTGTGCATTGGAGAGAAAAGGAAAGCAAGCATCAACTCGAACTATCCATTTTACCACTAAAAGTTATTTTATGACCAAAGTAGAAACCGCTTGCTTCTTCCACAGCCAAAATTGGAGAAAGCAGCTGGTCACTAAAACCAAGGGCAAACAATTCAGGATAACCAAACCAAGGAGCAATTATGCTAATGTGATTCTTAAAGTATCAATACTATTTCTTTGATGCAATATAGATAGGGAACAAATTAATCAGCTATTTGGACAAATGGAAATTTTCAATAACACAGTGAAGAAATAGAGGATGGACACTGTCCTTGTGCTTTGACCCTTAATAAGAAATCAAACTTCTTAGTTGCTCTAAGGTGATCCTCTACTTTAAGAGAAACCCAAGAAATTGGTTTGTAGAAGTGCCAACCAATCTTTCTCCTATGGAATTGCATTAAACTGATTAACAACTAATGGGACTGCCCCTAACCTAAAAACCTAAGGAAAATTTCATCCTACTGTTACAAAGTCTACAACACTGGATGTGCATATTTATGACTACGAAAAGGCTATACAAAATATGGCACATGGCAGTATTTTCATTTGTCATTGACTGAGTTGGCCAATCAATGATCTTATCAACAAGTGGCCATCATGGATAGAGATTGTAGATTATATTCCCAATTGGTGGTTCTTTTAAAAGATGGGAAAAGGTTGGCTTTTTTCCAAGAATCCATCATCACAAAGTGGAAAGATGGAGTTCTGTGGCGAACCTTATGCGCTGTGACTGTTGAATCTAATGAATCCAAGGTAATGAAAACTATGAAAGAAACATCAAATTGGTTGTTGAAAAATGACTTGGATTCCAACTTTACTTAGTTGAATGAGATGGAAATCATGTACAACTACTCAAAAATTGCCGATTTACATCCTTTGTTTATTCCAATGTGACAAATGTTATCCCACAGTAGATTGTTTCAAAGATCTTCCTTACATATATAAGGTTTCTTTCCAGTGTTCATAAATTCTTTGAACAATTATAACAAACAAACAAAAGCACCCATCTTTCACCAGATATGAGCTGATGCTAACTTAACAAATGGCAACCTAACTTCATTGGCCAATGGATGGCCAGCTATTCCCTTTAGTAAACTTATTTCTCATTCCCTTTCATGTTCATCCAAGCCATTAAGCAGAATGGGAGACAATGTCCAGAAAGAAAAGTGCAAATCTCTGCTAAGCACACTAAGATATACTATGTTATTTAAATATAATATAGATTAAAGAAATGTGCATCAGGACATGGTCCTAAACATCCTACTTTGGGGTGATTTTAATGCTTCTGAACACTTTCTTGTCTACCTTTGGGTGAGTTTCTTCATTAAGAGACAAATTTTCAAATTATGATAAGTTCTGATTTTTTTTTTTTTTTTCCATTTTGAATGTTATGAAGTCAATGGCTTGAACAGTGTTAGACAAAGTGCACTATCAAATAGCTATAGGCTTAACAGTGGCTTTGCATAAAGATAAAACAAATCTACTACAGTATATGAGTGCTTAAATTCCCTGCAGAATTGATAACAGAACACTCTCATGCACCATTTCATGATCACGAATCATGAATATTAGACTTAGGACACTCAAGGATCCCAAATACTGCATGAAGCATGCTATAAATAGTTATTCCTTTATTTCTTTATACCTTCTTTACCCATCTGCGATTTTATTAATGCCCCCATAAACCTAATATTTCATTCGCTACTCATTATATGGAATCTGCTCTTCAATCATCTCTGCTAATATTGCTGTCAACAGCTAAATTTAAAAATATTCCCTCATCATATAGGACCTAACTTGTGAAAAGATATGTCCCAGACAGTTTATTATTGAAAATTTCTGCACTGAAAACTCTGAGAAATACTACAATGGGAAAACAGTAACAGTTTTCAATGTTGCCCATTTTCAAGTGTCTCAGCTATCACCTAAAAGGAAAA